CTCCTCTATCTCATTATATACGAACTTCGCGCATGAGGTGCAATGAGATAAGAGACAGGCATCTCTGATCCTGCCACATATAACACTTCGTTTACGCACTCAATCAAGGGTGTATGTTCTCTGCACCAAGTATTTTATGCCGTTCGAGCATTGCGGTCAATTATATGTACAGGATTTTAGTGCGCACGGCTGCCACAGCTTACATGTTCTACCACCATTACATACCCAGTCTTGTTGACGAAGAAATTGCTTAAAATTCATCCTGAACTCTGGGGGGCGTTATCCAGGGATTTGTTTCTCTTCAATCCTGCTTCTCATGTTTGGTTGTTTCCGGTGTGTCATGCTTATCTCTAGGCATGTCCGGACTGGCATTCACTGTACCTATAACATTTTTTCTCAATGTGTCATGCCATTGATGATGCTCTGGAAGAGGAAGCCCTCAAACTGTATGACCTTCCTGGTCGCTACGCTTGTGCCCTCTGGTAGAAGTCGACCATGAAATCAATGGCTCAATGACTTGCAGGCTTACCGGGTCCCTATCCACGAAGGCCCCCAATCGCATTGTATAGATCAATAACAGTAGAACAAGAACATCATCTTCGATTTTCCACACTTTAACCCTTTCAATAATACAGAGTAACAAGCATATGCTCACATGATTTAAAAGCAGCACTGGTATAGAAAAAGCACGCGTGTACTCTCCAATCCACCCCCTTTCCCCACGACAGCCAGGAAGCCGGAACGCGGCCATGTGAGGTCCGTTTTCTTTCCTTCTTTTATAGAGAAGATACACACACACACACACACCACCGGGACATTTCAGCAACTTCATTCCAACTGCACTTCTAGAATATGTATACAGCGTTCCTTATCTTTAACTGACTGACAACATAAAAAAGATAAAACGACGAGACGAGACGGGTGAACTCCGGACACAGAGGGTTCAGGTTCTGCGTCTACTGCTCCTCGGGGTAGAGCTCCTCACGGAGAGGAACACCCAGCTCCAGGCGGAGCGACTCAAGAGCCTCGAGGTATTGCTTGTACTGTTCCTTGGTCTCGGCCTTGGCCTTGATGCCTATTTTTGACGGCCAAACAGAAGGGATTAGTGTCTTCTCGAGGAATGTGCGGACGGTAGATATGAGATCAATTGGGAGAAAAGTGGAGGACAGGAGAGGAGGTTATCGCACCCTCGAAGACACGGACGGCAGTGGGGAAGTCATTGACACGACGGGCAGCCTTGAGAGCGGCGGTGAGGACCTCAACGGAAGGGACGAGATCGTAGGCGAAGCAGTTGTTCAGGTTACGCTGCGTTTGAAAGAATCGATTTTGTTAGTCCGGGCTGATATAGGTTCGAGCGAGAAGCGCCCAGCAATCCGCCCAATGGCAGCTGGGCTGATTATCAAGGCTGGGGATGCGAGTGGATGACGCGAGCAGGGGAGGGCATCGGCTTACCTGGAGCTCGAAGACATCCTGGACACCGTCGAATTCCTTCTCGAATCTATCGACAGGGTGGGTTAGAGGTGAGGTCGTTGACGGGTTTGAAGTAGAGAGCGAGGTAATGCCCATAATCAAGGCATCAGAAGGGGCCGCCGGGCTTCTCGGGTTCGGCTGCCCGTTGCGACCGAGTCCGGACCAACGGGCTTGCATCTGTCTCCAATGGCTCGGCAAGTTATGATTGCATACCTGTCAGAGAACTCCTCGAAGGTCTCGTCCTCGTGGTGGCCAGAGTAGCGCTGAGCGGAGGTGCTGAAGCTGGGGCGGCTGATAGCCTGAGCGATGGGGAACTGCACGCGGGCCCGGGGCAATTGAGCGGCTCTGATGAAGCCGGAGGGACGGACGGCGCGGGTTGCGACACGGAAGACGGAGATTGGCGACATGATGAGAAGAAGGTGGTGGTGGAGGTGGGCGAATTGGGGGTGGGTGAGGGGAGAGCAAGACGGGCGAGGTGTTGACGAAGTCGAAGTCAGAGGTTAAGCCGGGCTGCACTAGGATTTTGCGGGTGGTGTGAGGTTGTTGGTGCCTCAGGCATTCAGAGTATCCGCCCTGCAGTGGTCGTCCGTCATTGATAATCGCCGGCTTTTCCTTTGCGGCTCCCGCCCAACCCGAAGTTGGCTGATGCCTCAGGCCACTACTACGGGTATGCTGTCACTTGCCCAGAGCCCGAGGTCTGCTTTCTATCTGCCAGCTGTGATTGGAGCATAGGCGGTACGCAGCTTATAGCTCTCAATTGGCTCTTATTATTTGGCCCAGATCCCGTGGGCGGCATCGAGATCCGCACCCTTGCCCCGGAGATTACCAGTACCACCTCAGGCAGAGATTGTGCAAACCTGATCTGAGACTGGCAACAACCGGTGGTGACTATGGTTGCGGCCAGTCCAGTCCAGTCCAGTTTCCACGTCCTTTCCATGGAATCCCCAGCCTGCCGCCGCTGGGAGACTGACAATTATGATCGACAGTCGGTCATCTCAATTTCCAGTCCAGCTCTCAGTCAGTTATTGGTTCCTTGAATCCTCGTCCTTCAAAACGGTTTCTTTCTAACATATATCCACCGGGATGTTTTCCATCAGCTGACTTTGCAAAAAATAATCTGTCAAAGTACCCCGCGCAGCAACTTGTTCGAGAAGCAAATCGTAGAAATTAGATCGGGGATCGGAAATATTCCCCACGGATCTCGTTGACTAGTGTTTGGACCCTGGCACTGACCAGCAACATGTTTCATGAGGAAACAGTGAGTGATAAGTTACCAGGTCGCTGAGTTCTGAATCAGAGGTATACAGTGACCCAGAACCCTTGGCATAACCCTGGCGAACTTGCATGGAGATTATGTTTCAAGAGGTTACCGGGATCTCCAGGTTCGGAATTCGTATTCATTGAGATATTGGCAATGTTAGGATAGTACTCAGTAATCTAATCATGATCTCTCAGGGACTATAGTAGGGACTAGGTTAGTACTGGTAGTTATTTACACCATTTCGATGGTCACCAACTGGCACTGGTCAGCACAGCATGTGAAGATGGCCCGTGGTTAGTGGCCGCTTCCCTACTTGTAGTTATGACGATCAATTACAGATTGTCAATTAGGTAGATAACTTTGGTGACCTTGACGTGACATACAACCGGCGGAAGCGACTCTCAAAAGTTATCCTCATGAGTTTTCCACCCTCCTCTAGATATCGAAGTCATCTCTTGCTACGAGGCTTGCCGGCCGCAAACAGCGCAACAAGGGCACCAAAATCAGGACCAGCTGGCGAACCGGGAACCCGGAAGGCACATGATCGTCGGGCCCTAAGCGGACGCCCCCTTTTTTTTTCCCAGTGGCCGAGGTTGCGCTAGTCTCTTTTCAGCCGCAGCGGACGCGCCGGAGTCCAAAAAAGAAGACACGCTGAAGGATGGATGGATTCTCCTTGCGAACAGGCAGTCAAAAGAGATACCAAGTCCTCCTGCTGCTCCACCTTGTCCGTTCCCTCTTCATTTCTCTTCTTCCATATTCTTCTTCCTTTACTCTCCCTCTTTCTTATCCTTTGAATCGCTGCGTTTGCTTTTAACTCCCCCCTCCTCTTATTCTCCCTTTTTCTTACCCCATTCTCTGCTCGCACCCCTCCAACCGGCCTGTCAGCAGTTTTGGGAAGAGGAAGAAGAAGAAGAAGCAGAAATCTGAGGTCCTTCACACTCCGGGACCTTCAGTCAATCCGTCCTCCTCAAGTCCTCCTCAAGTGATTAGGATCTTGGTCAATTGCTCACCATGGCCGCCGAACTTCTCCAGAGCCTGCCCAGGCCAACCATTGATCGGCCATTTGGCATCCACCTATGGCCTATCTTCGACAAGGCCTTCGAGCTTGTTGTGGGATATCCCGCCAGCGAGTTCCGCTTTGTTGAGGGCGTCACGCCCATGTCTACATTCAAGGAGACTGCTGTGATGCTTGTGGCTTACTATGTTATCATTTTTGGTGGTCGCGCGTTCATGAAGGACCGTCCTGCTTTCAAGCTCAACACACTGTTCATGATCCACAACTTCTACCTGACCGCGATCAGCGCAACGCTCTTGGCCTTGTTTATCGAACAACTCCTTCCTACCCTCTGGAGACACGGCATTTTCTACACTATCTGCACGCACGAGGGTGGACTTACACAGCCTCTGGTCGTTCTGTACTACGTGAGTCTCGCAACCGTTTCACATCCATCCGATGACCGAAACTAACCCGCTTGTTTGCGCTTAGCTCAACTACCTGACCAAGTACCTTGAGCTCATCGACACTGTCTTCCTCTTCCTCAAGAAGAAGCCGTTGACCTTCCTTCACACCTACCACCACGGTGCCACCGCTCTTCTCTGCTACACCCAGCTCATTGGCTTGACCGCTGTCCAGTGGGTGGTCATTGACATCAATCTCTTGGTTCACGTTGTTATGTACTGGTACTACTTCCAGAGCGCTCGTGGTATCCGTATCTGGTGGAAGGAGTGGATTACCCGCCTCCAGATCATCCAGTTCGTCATCGATCTTGGTAAGTCGTTGTCTCGTGACCGATTTCCGGAAACTCAACTGACCGTTATTTAGGATTTATCTACTTCGCCTCCTACACCTATTTCTCCTCGACCTACTTCCCCTGGGCTCCCAATATGGGCAAGTGCGCCGGAGAGGAATTCGCTGCTTTCTCCGGAATCGCTGTCATCACTTCCTACCTGTTCTTGTTCATCTCTTTCTACGTCGCTACCTACAACAAGGCTGCCAAGACTGGCCGTCCTCGTCGTAACACCGGCAGACAGGCTGTTATTGACATGGCTAAATTCGAGGTCTCTGCTCCTTCCACTCCCAACGGACAGGCCAAGTCGAACGGTGACGCTGTGTCCACCGGACGCTCCAACGGCCCTGTTACCCGCTCCCGCAAGGCCTAGGTGCACGAGTGGTGAGACGGTCTTAGGGGCACATCTCTTCACTTCTTCGATGACCCGCTTAGCAAATCGGCTTCGAAGCGCGGATTCGTTCTCCCTTCGCTTTCACAGTCAATCTTCGCGCATCGCCATATCTCGGCCGAGCATGAGCGAGCCAACAACCAACCATTTCTGAAGCCGGGTTCCACACTCGGTCGCCAACACTTACAACTATTTAATGAATGACCTTGATGATAATGGTCTTCTTTGCTTTTCAACCAGCTTATGCATGTGGCCTTGCCGCTTTGCAGAGGTGGTACCGAGCTAATTCAGAGATATCTTCGCTTGGGGAAAGGCTTTCTACCCTTTTTCTTCTTCCTGGAATCAGCCGAGCAAAGACCATGACTTGGCTATTTCAGCTTGTATTCTACATGCTTTACTTTGCTTCGTCACGTCGCCTTTGTTCCGCTGGCTGCGGAGTCCCGACATATGCCTTTTTTTGAATCGTCTATAAACGGGAGGTCAACATAAATGTAATCATGGCTATGTGTTTTTCTTGTCATTGCTCCTTACCTGTATATAATTGAATACCTTTCGGACTTCACTAATTTTGAAATGTGCAATTGGTTTTCATAAACTTTCGTTCTGTTTGGCTTGCTGATTTGGGGCTTTGGGGAATCCAAAATATGTATCTGTCGAGGTTTGAAACGTGAGAAGTATCAGCATGGAAGCTGTGGTTACTGGTACTATCCAGATGAACTGTCTGATACAGATAATCTTCTGGGGTTGAACGAAAATTCGCAACGAGTCTCGGCGTCAGCCCGAGGCAAGATACCTTTTGGGATCCACAATAGGCAACATCCGTCCGCTTTGCTGCCTGCCTTGTGCTACAATGCACCTGAGTTTTCGAGCTGCTGCTGTTCATTGCTTTTGTAGTCACTATCGACATGTGCGCAAGCATTCGAGTTACTCCGAGCCGGGGAACCACAATTGACCCAGAAGGTGAGGCAGACAATGAAAAGACCGAAAGTCTCTAGGCTCACACTACGATGAAGACGACTCCGGGCATTTTGAGCCTGGAAAGAAGTACTTGCTTTGCAGTGATCGACAGATGAGCCTGTCGTGGGTTTGGTCATGCTTCAGATCCGAATCTAGCGGAGACTCTCAGAGACGAGGTCTTTTTGGAGACCATGCACGTTGTTTTACTGTGCACGGTACAACCGCCATGGCCGTGCGCTATCACCTTACGTACTAGTATCATCGAAGACGATACCATGGTTTGTGGAATATCCATGTCTTACTCCGGTTTCTCCCCCGCTATGAACAATGATCGCCCGCGCTGCCGATAGTTCATGCAGCGTGATGACGATCAAGGTAAAATCGTCACTCAGCATATGTTCCGAATACTCAGCTGCAATCTATGCTTTCATGCCTAGCTATTGTTGACATACGATGAGTTCCCAGGGAGTTTCAGGGAATTTAGGGAATTATCTACCGATAAGCATTGTGGCGTGCGCGTCCTACCCGGTGGATTCATCTCGACTATGGCGCAATGAGTTCGATAAAGCCGATGTTTATGGATTCATCCGAAGAGTCCTGACCAGCTTCCTTCCCAATGTCATCATAGCTGGTCGATCTACGAAGAACAAAGACTCCCGAGATCACCAAGTTCAGTGTTCTGTAGCGTGCTCTAACCAAGATTGTTGTTGAATCATGAACTCCGATTCCTCTTCGGCATTTACAGCGACATCCCAGTCGCAGATCCAAGCATCTCGAAAGTGCTCCAGAAAGACATAAAAGGGCACCTCAATCCTTAAGTTGATTCTTTATCAAAATACAGAAGCACCAGCTCAATCACTACTTCGACTCGTCGTCCCATATACATCTTGCAACTCCAGCACCGCCTAAGGCACATCAGTCACAATGCGCTTCCTGTCTTGCGTCTCTGCTGCCCTGGTGGCCATCTTCGCGTCTACCACCTTTGCGGTCCCCATCAACGGTGGTGTCAACTGCACTCAACTCGAACAGCAGATCGTCACTCTACAGCAGGGGGTGAGCACGGCCAACGGTACCAACCCGGAAGGAGTCCAAGCTGCTCAGCAGCTTCTGTACGGTGCGAGGCTCGTGCAGGCCACCGAGTGCACCAACTCTTCGCCGGTCAAGCGATTCTTCCCTGTGAGTTATCCGGTTCTTCTGTGATGTTCGATGGTCTACTAACGACGATATGTAGCCTGTAAGTAACGCGGAACTTGAAAGTGAGACGTGGTGATGCATGCTGACCCAAGGTGCTACTCGAAGCCTACTGGTCCGGTGAGTTGTTCCTACGATGTCTGCCATCCAGACGGGGAATACTAACTTTGGCAGATTGTGAGTTAGGCTCTTGATATAGCTATCTACTGACGTTTTGAAACACTGGAAACCCATGTTTAATCAAATTACAGAATGTGAGTGCTTTTCTGAGTCAGTCTATTTGATAGCGATTCGACCCAATGCTAAGCCTATATGAACGCAAAAGGGAACATCCTCACTACCTCCGATCCCCGGATTTAACGGCACGGTTCCACTTCATTAATTGATGGTAATTGTTGCCTCTCCGGACATTCAAGACTCTTGCTCACGGGACTTCAAAGTCGGTAAGCTGAAGCATCCCATTCTAGAAGCCCTTACTACTGGGACTTCTGCCTCAGATCCGTGGTGCTGGTGAGTGCTTGTCCCATCTGGAATGATATACTCAGTCAATAACATGATAGTCAGATTTGTTGAAGATCCCCGATTGACACCCTTCCCAAGGCCGGAGATCTCGTTGAGGAGGAAAGCTCCGACAACGGGTGGATTAGATGTGAAGTGGAGCGGCATGGCCTTAGTATAGGTTTTTCTCCCTTTCGAGGTTTTCCTGTACTGTGAATGCGAATGCAGAGGCTTGCATTGGTTATGTTTTGTCGAGAATATGAATTATATATAAAGTGCGTATCTTGACTGTCCCTTGTCGTACCCTTATATCATCGACCTAGGACTGCAGGGACTAGAGGCTTGACTGTGTAGTGTCTCTGTGAAGGAAGTTCTAATCCCAGCACCAGAGAAGAACAGACATTCATTATGCAATTGCAGCCCAGGAGATGTAGTACAGGTCAGGAGTTGAACTTCCTTTACCGGCGCGATCACTATCACCATGTGCCTATCGCCAACAATCAACTTGAATACCAGAAGACTGTGCAGCATCCAAGCCTAGATCATGACAAAACAGCATATAGCATATAATTGCTTGCGCTATTTCAGTGCACATGCCTCGACCTCGACGCAACCCAGCGGACGGACTGCTCGAGCTCCCCAACTTCTGGGCCCGTCCGATCTCATGTCCCGGCACTTCTGTGCCTCCCAGACGGAAGATCCCCGTGTCGAACATCCCTCGTGCCGTGCATCCCCGGAATGATGCATTACGCAGTCATGGCATGCTGTCACGGGATGGGAGTAGGCTACTCGTCTAGTGTATCAGTCTTTCACCGTGCGCTGGTAGTTGGAGATGCGTACGTGCGACGGCGATGGGGGGGCGGTAGTTCTACGTATGGGATTGTTGGCCGTGGTTGTAGACTTGAGACGGGACGGTCGCGGACCTTCCCGCCTGCTAGCTTGGTGGAAGTGCCATACCAGTGGCATTCAAGAAGGCATTGTCCTGGTACTGTGGCACTAGGTCTCTGGTATCATCTTGAAGAAGCTTAGCATATGTCTGACCGTAGATACTTTGTCGTTTCCAGTCTTCCTGCAATATGCTGTCTCTATTCTCTCGTGCTATGCTTCATCCACGAATCATGTACAGTCTAGAGAGCTGCTGCAATGAGCATCACGGATCCAAAAAGAAGCCGACCTCAAAGAATGATTTATTGACTAAGGAAGGAAATCCGCGAGAGACAAGAGGCTGGATGGGAAAATGGCAAGAGAGAACGGAAGGAAGGAAAAGCCCAGCAGTCGTAGGAAACCGAAAGTAGGGGTTTATATACAATATACTCCGTATCCTTCGGCAGATGCACCAGCAGCACGAGCCCGAAGAAGATCAGGTTCCCACGCCCATGCACAGCAACCAAGCTTTATTTCGCAGAACTACGAGTAGTCCCATTGAACCCACTTCTCCCAACAAACCATACCATTCAGTATATCCCACCACCTTCAATGGGGCACCAACAAAAGTTGAAACACCGGTCATCTCGCTTACCAATACCTGTCTCCCCCAACAACTATCGCAAGGTAAGGCAAGTTGACAACCCTAGTGCCTTTTCTCATCAACTGCCGAACCCCCCCCCGTTCCCCTGAATCATGCACCCGTTCCTCTCCATCTCGATCCGAGAACAACCGCCGGCCCCTCCCACCTTCCCGCGGGTCACCCCCTGCACCTCCCACATAGTCTAGTCCCAAGTTCCCAGCAGACATCATCGATCGCGTCGCTGTCGCTGTCTTGCTGTTGCCTAGCGAGAACCTCACCTTCCCACATTCCACCCCTGACTCGCGCATCGCAGTTCCCAGGGCTTCGGCATGATTTGCCGTGAACCAATTCCAGCCGGGAATCCAAGATCATGGATCGATCCCGAGGTCGCTTTCCCGCCCCACCAACCAATCACTTCCACTAGAAGCGTAGACCGGAATGTGGCTTGCCGCAACTCTACATCTCAAGGTTTGAAGGCTTGTCAATAGTCTTCCTTTGAGAAGATAAGCGAGGTTCAGCCATGTCCCTGAGATCTCGGTTAAAATTAAACCGTGAGCGGGCTAGAATGGTGACCCTACACCTACGCCTGCAGTCATCATCTCTTCCATGCATCCACATTCTCTTCCTGACGGGGAAACGCGAGACTTGGAGTATTGCATACCGCAATATCCCGCGCGTGATGATTATTAGCCTTTCCCTATTCCAGATCCAGGGTGGGGGGGATGTATAGTACCCAGGTAGACGGCATAGACGTCTCCAGCATGGGCAGTCCTTCCGGAGTAGATACTGCATACCGCATACTACCGTACTCCTACATACATAGATTAAAATCAGATTCAAATTCCAAAAATCTAGCCCGGATCAACAGACAAAAGAGGCACACCCCTCAACGACGATCATAATCTAGAAGAATGCACTCTAACTCGCACATCGAACGGGATCCCGAATGTCTTAGTCTAGTTCCCTACCGGAAGCCAGGATCTGATGACCGCTCCACACCACCGGGAGTGCGCACCTACTTATGGAGTACACAGCCTACAAACGATGATCTGCTCAAAGCACGATATCCAAACAACTTTCCACCGAAGTACCAAACCCAACCAGGCCAGATCGAAAGGCCATCGGCCCTGGTATTGTCCTCAAGCCTGCATCTGCATCTACATACTAAAATCAAAAATCATCGGCCAATATTCAAATATCAAACGCAGGCAGTAGATGTACAGTGCAACCGGGGGGGCGGGGCTCATTGTCCACGGAATCACACCTTCACAAAATCTTGACCGCAGATAGGAAACCGATCCACCCCTCGTGGCAGGCCGAAGGAAAAGACATCCGGTTCCGCATGCGCAGAAGTTGGTTGCCTCCAGGCTGTCACTTGAACCCGACCCGAAGTCTGTAGAACTCTACTCTACATTTCCAAGTTTTTTTTTTTTTTTTTCGTCTCTGGTTCGAGTCAGTTGACGCTTCCGGTGGCCTCCCCACGGCAGAAACCATGCATGGCATGCTGAGAACTCGATTTTTCGAGCACCAATCAAGTCTTTCAAAAGGCGGTTCGTACCGCGGGAAAGCTCAGAGCTGTGCAATTATTGTGGAATGTGGGAACATGTGGAGAGGGTGAGCGAGGCAGATTCAGCTTCCGCCGCCCCCTCCACTCGATTGCCGGGTGAAGGCTCAGCTGCCGGGATCGCCGATATGCATGCCCGCCCACCATCGATCGGAATTCCCATTGAACCTTGGATACGCAAAGACAAAACCCGGGTGTCATCGCTACTGTCGGTTCCGATGTCCGTCCCGCGGGGACGAAACAGCTTCTACAGCAGTTTAACACCTACGTCTGTACCGTACGTTTACGAACGCGAAACAGCCACAGAAAGAAAAGCACGAGGGAAAATTGTATGACTCTGTCCCAGTTGATTCTGAGATCCAATTGTGGCCCACTCCAGGAAGGCCATCACATTCTGCCCGCCTATGACTACTTCGGTGATCAGAACACAGAAAGGAAAAAGAGACAGGCGAGGAGGTTCTGCGATAGTACAGTAAGATCGCAATATCACAAGCATCCAGTGCGAAAAGTCAAAAAACCAGGAAAACAAGGAATGCCGCCCCAGGCAGTTGAAGTACAGACCAAAACCAAACCCCATGGAAGCAGACGCTAAACCGACGAAGAACGCCAAAGTAGAGACGTGACGCGACAAATAAAAAACCTTTTCCCCAAAACGTAGAAAGAAGAAGTAAAGATGAAACACTAGATCGAGCAATTCTTCCCGTGTTATCTCCGCAAATTAAGCATTATTTCTGGATGGTGGACTTTCTCCTGCCTCGTAACATGAATCCCATGAAACCAGAACTCGAACTCTTGGCGGCTGGTTCCGCACTGTCGGCCTTAGCGCTTCGGCTGTACCGAAAACTCTTCTTCCGCCGCGCAGCCTTGGCGCCCGAAGCGGCGGCTTCGCGTGGGTCCAAGCTGTAGACGCTCTCCACTTCCGACCGCAGACTGCTGGCTGAGTACACACTAGACGCCGTCGAACTGTGCATAAGCGAGGCGGCTGCCGTTGGGGGCCGAAACCCTCGGTTGCCAGGCATGCTGGACGTGCTGTAGGTGGAGCCCGAGCGGTGGCGGTTGAATGTGGGTGATGAGTAGTAGGGAACAGGACTGGAAGTGCGGGACGACGGCAAACTGTAATCGGAGCCAGCAAAGGAGTGAGAGAGCGACACAGATCGGCTGTGAGATTCATCGGCGGCATGATTGGACGTGTGGCGGGGAGGAAAGGGCGAATAGCCCCCTTGGACGGTCTGCATGGATGGGGGTCGACGGAGAAGACTGCCTTTGGGTCCCCGGTTTGCAACATGCTCGGCAGAGGTCTTTGGTCGATTGAATGCCATGGACTGCGAGCGCATATTGGTGGGCTGGGGAGTTTCGGGCACATCTGCCAAAGCTCGAGGAGCAACAAACGGGTCGGTGTCCGCTCGCCGAGGATGCTGCCCCGCATAGCGGCCATGTAATTGCAGGCTACCACGCTTCAAGTGGAAGGCGGGATCTGGTCGTCTCTCGCTCAAAAGCGGTTGCGATTTGATTGCCTGGTTGAGAGAGTACAGTCCTTTACCACTTGGATATCGGTCCGGTTCAGTCGTCGCTGAAATGGCTGACATGGGCTCGGGCTCCTCTAGCACCGGGCCATCGGTGACTGGGCTTATTAAGATCAGATTAGGCTTAGCAATAGGCTCGACAATGGTGACTTTCTCAGCCACGCAGACATCTGAGTCGTCGACTGAGTCGTCAAGCGAGTAAACAGAACAAGGGGAAGAAGATCGAGAGCGACGCTGATGTCGCAGCGATTGGGGAGGTTGATAAACAGTAGGCTGCAAGAAGACTGGAGACCGCAGTGGAGAGGTGCTGCCAGGCGATGGCAGCTCGATGATCACGTCGTCATCATCGTCAAACATGTAAGTCTCCGGCACAAACGTCGTTCCACTGCTACGTTTCACGGTATCTAGCGAGACTGGCCGAGAGGTCTTGCCTGTGGTAGCATGCATTGACAATAAGCGGGCGAAGGCGGTCTGGTCTGATGGTGATTGAGGGGAGTTGACGCTGGAAACCTCATCCGCGCTCATGTCTGAATCATATGGACCGGCGGTTTTGATGGGCGAAAATGCATGGTCATGGGATCCCAACTCCGATTCGGAAGTCTCCTCCTCCTCTGATTCGTATTGTCGAGGAAGAAGCTGCTGGTTCAGGTAGTCCAGGTCTAGAGGGGCTGCCGTCTGATACATGGTGATGTGAAGTGGGAAGGTCGAGAGAAGAACGAAATAGAAGGAGAGAAAAGTGATAGAGCCCCCAAGCCCGGCAGGTACTCAATAATAAGGAAAGATATAAGTGGATGGACAAGTGGGCCAACCCATGTACACAACAAACAACGAGTGGGAACAAGTGAAAAGAAAAGAAAGAACGTGAGAGGAAATGGTATGAAGATAAGAGAAGGCAAACGAAACCGACAACCGACAGGAGAAGAGAATGGATGTCAATTATACCGGACAGGGACTGGACAGGGTTAGATGGGCCACACGGGTTGGTATGCTCGAAACGGAGTGGAGCTGGTGACCCTCCGTTGAGGTTTGTTTGAACGAAGCCACCGAATGCCATCCGATCACACAACTTCCGGAGTGAACGGACCAGGAGCTCCACTAGGGGAGGAGGGGGGAGGGGAGCAAGTCAGAAGAGGGCATTGGGGATTGCAGGAAAAGCAATGCTGCATGACACGTGCGCCACCAGGGGAAGACCTAGGACGAAGTGAGTTTAGAGACCGAAGTTGTCTTCTTTTTTTTGCTTTTCTTTTTTTTGTTCCTCCTCTGTATCCTGCTTGGTTGGCGCTAGTGATCTGTACCTCGGCCTTAGTGGCAGTCACTGTACCTTAGCCAGGTACTACTGCTGAGGAACTTGAACCTGGATGGACAAGAGGATGAGAATCCAGGACGGGCTAAGAGAATGAAGGTGGTGCTTACGTTTTCATCCTTGCCTGACCCTCCTGCAGCCCCAGGGAGGTGTGGGTGTGGACACTGGAAGCTCAGGGACAGTTCAGCCGACCCTTGCATAGACGGGGTATTGTTCATCGTCATCACCACACTCCTGGCCCGGAAAAGCAATGATAACCGACGAGATTGAGCCAAATTGTGGAGGATTCCGGCGCCACGAGAGGGACTATTCAATGAGTAAAAGCATGATTTTGGGGATTTGGGTTCACAGCGGCCATGAGGAAGGGGGAGGGGAGGGGGAGGAGGAGCCTGGAGGGGAGGGAGAAGCGGAAGAAGCGCTAAGAGATTGGACGTATCAACGTGAGCTGTCGGAGATGGATGTGTGTGGTGGTGGGGGGGACAAGGTGCCTGAATGCCTGAATGCCTGAACGCCTGAACGCCTGGAAATTGAGGGGGAAAAGGAAGCTCAAAGAGGGAAAGGAAAGTCCGTGGCGCGCATCAATGGCGGCCACATCTAGATTGCTGGTTCCCCCAATTCTCAATTCACCACCACCAAATCACCAATGATGATGAGGATCGACTCATGCCAAGCCCGGTATGGCCATGTGGATAGGTAAAGTAGTAGGTAAGTGAGTCAAGCTAAAGCTCAGCTCAGTGAGAGTGCATCCTTCAATCTTTACGGTAGTATTCCTTCCGATGAATAACTAGCTTCCTCCATTGCATAATCTCATTTGTTGGCCTTTCTATCTGATTCGTGACCATCTCTAATTCCTGAACCTGTTCCTGTTTGTTCGTTCCTCTCTTGTCCTGGGCTATCCTCCGCATTTTCCCAAACTACCGGCAGGATCTCTTGCAACCCTAATTGCTTACTTGACTTTCCCAGCACCTCCTCATGCGTCGGACATACGTACTACTCACTGCGGGTTGAATAATAGCGACAAACTCTCTCCTTGTCCCTGGCCCGATCGAGCTTTGGCCCGGTTCCACCCTAACTTAAGACCTTTGGTGGGGGTGCCTGGTTGGTTTCTCATTTTAGCCTCGATGCCACCGCATTCGATCAGAGCATCAGTTAATTTTGACTCTGAACAATGGTCTATCAAATGACACAGTGCACTGACACCACTCGATGGAGAAACCGCACACAAAGGTGCATTGATACTACTCCTATCACTGCCACCAGGGATTTGATAGATACTCTCCAGATCGTCTCCCAGCAATTGTCCCGTTCGTGCCGTTGAAAAACCCTGCGTATTCAACGCCGCCGCTCCAGGACGGTGGAGCATGTCTAATTCAAACACACCAGGCCCCAAAGCAGGTGAACTTCTTCCCGCTTCGACTTCCTCACCGACTCAGAATGCCCGCCTTCCTTTCTGGAAGACTTTTTCACTTTGAAAAAATCTTTTTCCTCACTGGAATATATTCCATGGCAAGCAAGAAAAAATTTCTCGTCCTCAGTACTCAGGAACAAGTTTGCCCCTATTCCAGAGGCACTAAACATTACCCACTTTTTGAGACCATGCGGCGCCAAGGCCGATTGACCCGACCGGCGAATGGGAGTTTTTCTTCTCCCCTGACCCTCTTTTCCCCAGCAATATCAACTGGAGACGGTGGATAGACGCAAAGCTCCCTGCAGCGACGGTGCCCTGTCCTTGCAGCAAAGCCATGCATCGCCACCATTTCCTTCAATTCTGCCAGGGCGGATGAAGTCGTACAGACAATAAGGCACAGAGAATGGCCGCAATTAGAGGTCTAGTTTTTGGAGCTTCCCTGAAAAGTATAGGCAATAATTACACACACAAACGACAAACTGTCCATCCGTGATCTCCGAAGATCCAAGTTCGCATAGGCCTCGAGGATCACCAAAGACAGTGAGTATCCGGAAAAGACGGGAAAATCCTCGCTCGAATCATTCGGCGATCCCCCGTCAAACTGGTGGTGGTAGGATAATCTTCGGTGTTATCCGCCCGCCCAGAGAATAAGGATCGCCCAAAATAGATATGATAATCCATGATCTGATGCCACGCCGCTCCAGCCTACTGAGAACCTCCATCGAAACAGAATTCGAACCAGACAGAATGTTGTATAGAGCCAAATGAATGAACTATCATTCAGGAACTCCAATTTCCCCAACCCGTCAACGGCCGAACCGTAATTCGACCTGCAGGAACACATCCAAACGGTGGTTGCAGCTTGAAACAGCCGAATAGCATGGAGGAGGGGCCAGGGGTAGATTAGTCCGCCTCTTGGTTTGCTTGGTCCGCCCCAAAGGAAAAGAAAAAGCAACGAAGCTTGTGCAGTTGTTGTTTGTTCGTTTGCCAGAGGAAAAATTTACCAAGTACTCCGTACTTGTCGAGGGATTCCAATCCTGACTGATGCAGATGCAGATGGCTGGTCGTAGCACGGAGGACTTGCTTATCGTAGTATAGAGAGGATGGACGACCGTGCTTTCGGCAGACTAACTAAACCAACTGTATTTTTAGCTCTGTTTCTGTCTGCTCCATCGTCCTCTCCCCTTGCTGGCCTCACCACCACCACCATCCTTCATCCCACTGGTACGCAAACTCAATGCAACCCCAGCGCTTCTGCGCGCGAAGCGATCAACAATTGACACTCATGCACTGTACGTCTTACCTCCAATTTCATGCGATCTTGTTATCTTGGTTTAAATTTAGCTGGGCAGAATTGGAATTATTCCGTGCCGTGCGTCCTACCTACCTACAGAGCACTGTACACTTTGACTTACTATCTGATACTCCTGATGTGCAGTACATCATTGTACCTATCATCTGCATAAAAGCCCAGCCACAATATACCCCCCCCCCCCTGGCTAGACACTGCGACGTGACGTCGACAGCAGACGGGCAATTTTCTGCCTCTGCTCAGGGAGCACATTCTCTCCCCAGACCAAGCTTCGTAGCTTTTTTTTGTCTTTCTCCCCCAGACACCCCTCCCAAGGCAATCCCCAATGATCCTCCCGGGCGTTGATTGACGACCACAAAGGAAGCATCCATTGTTTCAGCAGCCGCTGTAACAATTGCTTCCGCCAATATTCATCGTCGCAAGATCAATAATGAACAATTATCGCCACTAACTCCGTCCATAGCCTGGTTCTTGCTCTCACGCCGAGCGAGGTCTGGATAGACCCGACTCCATTGAAACAGGATTCTTTTCGCTCCAAACCCACCCTTTGCCCGCCTCTCCCAGCGGTTGAGGGACCCATTGCCCTGACACTTTCTGGAAGAAGCCAAGGCTAATGCGACAAGAGGGGGCAACAACCGGAGAATTATGGTCGGGGGGATGAGCCGCTGTGCTGCTTGATTTGGGGAGAAGATAGCCAAGCAACTTTATCGCTGAGCGCCCGGGGGCAGCAGGTTCGCTTTGCGATCACCACGCTATCGAAATGGGGGAGGGGGCGTTTCAAGTGTTCTATACATGGGAGCAGCCAACGTCAGTTTTCTGAAACGCGAACGTATTCTGACAAATCTCTGCACATCATAGAACGCCACCGGTTCCAACTCGAGGATCTGAAGATACACAACAACCAAGGTTCAGATGAGAGAGGTGTGTTAACGGGGAGGGGGACGGAGTATGCACTTTACCTCAGTAAAAAAGGGCATGTCAGAACACACGGGCCCGACACTGTAGCTTATGGAGTGCTCCACTACCTCACAGTGCAAACATTATGACCCTCCCCCCGCAACCATCAACATACCGCTAAAGTCGGGCGCGCGCATCTGTTGTCGTCGAGATATACCTTAAGGGTAAGAATGGGTGACATGCGCCCTTGACCAGCAAGAGAAGTACGTAGGATCAAAGGGGGGTCAAACATCCCCGTTCTATAGACCGTCCATATAACTGGCAAATATAAGCATAAGCAGACAGTAACCAAGAAAGAATCATCATATCCCACACCTCACTTCTATTTTTTGCTCTCCCCCCTCCCCCCCCCCCTTCCCTCTCCGTCCTCCGTGCTATAATGCTGTGTATTATTGCTCGACCCACTCAATCTTTCTTTACTCTTCAACCGTGCAATATAAACTGCGGAGACCTCCCGAGCGTTGCGGCCGCCAACGGCATTCCTGCTCTCCCTGGCCTGTTTAACTTAGTACAGTAACCTACAAGTTACTCCGTAGCGTAAGTCAAGTCACCCACCTGAAGTGGAGTCTACCCGCCCGGCTATGACAGCCCGTTTTGCCAAATTTGTCCCTTGACATCTCCGAATCCCCTAAACTAAACACTAAAAACAACTCCTAGTCCAGATTTTTTTCCTTGACATACGTGCCTTGGCCTTCACTTCACATCCTTTTGTGATTGCTGTAGGAGAGAATGGAGACACCTGTCAAGTCCATCCAGACTCCCCCTCCCCCCTGATCTTCACCACCGTTGAGATTTTCTTTTTCGTAATGTACAGAATCAGACAATATGACAACTTTGACTCCAACGCGCCCCACCACTCACTCGCTACAGAAATGGAACCTCCGAAATGACCGAGGCTTTCCTGTCATATACAAACCCCCAAGCCCCCAAACCCCCAAACCCCCCCCCTATTCTGCCCAACAGCATACGGTGGACGGTGCATATTACCCAAACCGATAAAGTGAGGCACCGTCTCTGTCTTCTGCACTGTATGCACAGTACCTATGCATCGCATTTGTCTCCACGTAAGACCGTTGAACGATGTGGGGAGGTGGGATTGGTTCATCACAATTCGGAGTCGGCATGACAGGTGGACTTTTTGGTCTTGTGTACAGTGTATACGGTACTTAGGCAACTTAAGCCTAAGGTTATTTGGTACTCTGTAGTTGCTTAGGCAAACAGGACAGTCGCCAGGTCTAGTCTAGTCTAGTCTATACACCACTGCAGGAGCACTATCCCTGCACAATAGCGGCGGTCGGGGTTGCATCCAGCCTAGTACTTTTCTTTCTTCTTGTATCTGAAGAATGACGATATGATGCATGACAACCCGTTTTTTTTCCCCTTTTCGTCAGGTGCTGTCAAGCCGAGAAGGGACCGGATTGTGAATCTAGGAGAGTTGATTAGCTGCCAAATTTCATGCCTGGGTTCGTGGGTTTGGGGTTTCGATTCTACGACAGAAAGGAGGGGAGAGAATGTCGGTTGTTGCGTCATTTGTGTCAAGTGTCTTTGGAGTTGTAGGGCCGATGGCGTTGGTGGTTGAGGAAGGGAAGGGATGGAAGAGGGAACTCGGAAGGGAGGAAGGGTTTCAGTATGGTGGTGGTGGTTTGTGCCTTCATGCCGCAAAGCCCTACCTACATACATCCATCCATCCTGCACAGTGCATACAACTTCTCTACGCCCTACATACACGGCAAATTTGAGATTCCGTGGTATCCAGGGAAAAAGCAGGAGACCATACACAAACCAGCCAGACTTGAGACGTAGGAAATATGCTTGTCGAAACTGCATTCTTGTCTAGCTGCCCTGTCATCCAATTTTTTTATTTTTGTTTCCTTCCCTTGAAATCAATCGTATGATGGTGGGGAGCGGATCGCAGGGAGGGTTTCTCTTGGCGGCTCGCATTTGGTCGCTACGCGAACACACTAGCATGAAAAAAGTCCACGAAAGTAATGAAGATCAGCAAAATGACATCCGATAGCTAGAACGAACCGCTAACGGTGATTCGAGCCAAGTGGAGTTTGGTATTTTTGCTGGATTGTTGACATGACAAAAGTGCCAACCGGAACTCTAAATCTGGTTCGGTAGTTGGCCGAGAGTACTTTCCTCAGTAGTCCTGGGTAGTCCACCTATAGGACGATCAACGATATAACACTGACGTACAGTTGCATGCATACAGTATTCGAATTTCGGGAGTCTTGCAGCTTGGGAAGGTGTTTCCATTTCACGGAACGATACCAGTATGAAAAAACAGTTGGCCAGGTTTTGCGGCTGTTAGTTCACTGTCGATCTTCCAGTAAGTATATTTTGATGTGAGGGGGTTAGGAAAGAAGCATAGATGCTGGGGCTCGTTGGTACTCGATCCTACATGGGCTCAGTTTACGATAGCTGTAGACAGAGTATGACCGAGCATGGGCCGAAGCCATACTATGTAGTCCTCTGTCCTAGATCGAGCCAAAAGTGATAGACCCCAGCACATTGTGCCGACAGATATCCGGATGAGAGCTTAATTTGATATTGCATTGCAACCGCCGTTCAGTTTGACTACATGAGAGCGCCCACCAGCGGAGAAGTACCTTGAACATCACCTTCAAGGCTGTCTGTCACGGACACAAATTATCTCCTCGTGCAAATGTGCCGCATCTGCAGGTAGTGGACCAAACCTTATAACTTATAGCGGGCTTGAAATAGATCTGGTCCTGTAGCATCGGCTAACTATACCAAACCTTTCCTTTGTGGCTATACACTGACTGGCAAGATCGACATTTTCATACAATAGTGCTTGTTGGTATTCCTTCAGCCACAGTGTGAAAGTGTGGAAGGGTTGATGTTAGAGCTTCCAATAGAGATGTATCGTCAAACACGACTAGCCAGCGGTAAGCAAGTCTACTACCCTCATCACTAGGATATGACAAAGCGCTTTGCAATGGTTGCTTTGTTCACCTTGCCAAAGGCATTTGACCCAAACTGACAACATCAGCAGATATGCTCAGCATCCGAAAGATGAATAATGAAACACTGAGATGAGAAGTATATCCCCAACAACAACTCTTTGTAGCAAGTAACATTCATGAAATCCTTCTGGATACTACTGAAAAGAAATTCAAGATGAGTCTGATAACTGCAATCCTCCAATCTAATCACAACCCAGAGACTACTTGTATATAAACCACAACATCACCAACAAACACATTCATCACAGCCCTCTTTCCAATATCCCCAAAATCACCAAGCATATCAACCACTGCCCCGCAAAGCTAGCAAAAGCCCTAGACGGTAGATATCCAACGAACAAAGATGGCCACGACCAAAACCGTGGAACAAGCCTTCCACACCGGCCTTCCCCGCTGCTACACCCCAACCCGCTACCGGCCCATAACAAAGGCGCCCCCGCTGTCCACCCCGGAGGACGGCCACGTCTACAAGCTCATCAAATGGACACCCGCGCAGACGTACCTGGACCAAGCGCGCGAGCGCTACAGCGCGCTGACCACCCAGGACCGCAGCCTCCGCGACGCTGAGCTCCCGACACTGACCCTGCCGGAACTCGCGACGGCCGAGGACGTCGGCCTGATGACGGAGGTCAACCTGATCCCCGGGGTGAAGCGTCTCGTCGAGGGCAGCTGGCTGGGCGGCGAGCTCGCCGGCCGCTTCACGAACGGGCCCTGGGGCGAGAAGCTGTACGTCTGGACCCTCCGGCTGGCGTGGGGGTTCAGCACCGACGTCGCCGTGCTGGCGATCAAGCCGCCGAACCAGGTGCGCGGGCAGGATTACTTTGGCGTCGTGGGCGGGGAGCGTCGGCGGGGTGGCGACAATGACGACGCCGACAACAAGAACGACAACACCAAAAAAAACCCCTTCCTAACCCACGGCCTCCAAGCCAACGCCATCCCCCACACCCAGCAAGCCAGGAAGTACGGCGCCGAGCAGGGCATCTCCCACGTCGCGCTGTTCGACTTCCAGCATCTGGTGCTGCTGGACCTGGACCTCGACGGTGCCATGCGCCAGAAAGAGAATCCCGGCGACAGCGACGTGATCCCCGATCTGCTCACGGTGACGTACTTCGACGAGCAGGGCCGCGATCTGGCGAACGGTGAGTGCTTCCATATGGTCCTCCTCGGGTTTGTGCTGAGCGCGATGGACCGCGTGCCCTCGCTGCTGCAGAATCAGCTGAAGCCGGGGGCTTCTGAGACGTCGGCCCCGTACCGGGTGCGAGAGGCGTAGACACTTCCCCCTCTCCCCGGGCCCACGGATGTAATTTCGTATTTTGATCCGGTGGTGGTGGGGCTTGAATAATGGTCTGCTCATCCACTGGTGTCCTGTAGTTCTGATGAAATGTTAACAGATTATATCATAAATGTATTATGTAAATACGTACTTGCTTTAGAGGGAATGCAACCGTCCAGATGTGATTGAGTGTGAGTGAAAGTTGCTTCAAGTCATAAAGTGTTTTACGGAGGGGCACCGAGTTCAGTGTGGAAGCACCATGCCAATACTGAATCTCCTGATGCCAGTGACCTTGGGCCCGTTCAGAATGTGAATGACTCGCCCCAATCTTAGCCTGGAGTCTGCCGACTTCAAAAGACTTCAAAATCTCAAGTGGTGGTCGTGTCGCCTCAATGAATAACCGCGGCTCTGTAATGCGAATTAGTCTGCTTGCGATAATAATAGCTACGAATGAAAGCGTCGACAAGATTCAAGCACATTATGAAGTCTTCTCCATGTCTGATGCACTAGGTACATCCTATACTGTCCGAAATGATTGCAATATCGGAGATTCCTGACCCTAAATTATGAGTTCTCCATCCCATCTCGACGCGTTGCGATGTCCATTCATAAATTCGTTGAAAGAATCTATTTGCGAGCTTCTATGGCGTTCTTGATAGCTATGAAGCGTTAGAAGAAGTCGACAACAGAATCATCGACGAATATACTTACCATCACAAGAAATCTTCGCATCTCCAAACAGCATCTTGGTCCCAGGCATGTAGAACATCGGGTTTGGTACGTCAGCTATCCCATAATTAGTATGATCTCATATATTCAACAAAGTGAGAACCCTACCGTATCCGCTAGACATGCCACGCTTCATCACAATGACCTCTTTGCTCTTCCATGCATGCAGCACGGGCATCCCCGAGATGGGCGAGTCAGGTTCTAGAGCAATCGGGTTAACGGTATCATTTGCGCCAATGACCAGAGTCAAGTCCGTATCGGGGAAGTCGTCATTGATCTCATCCATCTCGAGCACAACTGTGCCGAATCAGTCACTAGAACTAGGTAAACCAAGACAGGAACTTACTATCATAAGGTACAGAGGCCTCTGCAAGGAGCACGTTGCACTGTCCGGGCATTCTCCCTGCGACGGGATGAATGGCAAAGCGCACTTTGACGCCCTTGGAGCGTAGCATGTTAACAATTTCCGCGAGGGCATACTGCGCCTTTGCCACCGCCATGCCGTACCCGACAACCTGTTACAGCGGTCAGCCAAGCTCATAGTCAGGGGAAACGGGAAGACACACGATAATAACGCTTTCCGCATTTGAGAGTGCCTCGGCAGTATCGTCCACGGTGACCTGAGTTACTTGGCCTTCGATTTTCTTTGCTTGCTGCGGAACAGCGATACCGCCGAACAACACGTTTGTTAGAGATCGGTTCATCGCAACGCACTATATCACATCAGAAAAGCTTAATAATTGTGGAAGCTCAGTCACTGACCATGATGTATGACAAGATGGAGCCGCTGACTCCGATCAAGGAGCCCACGCTTGTGAGAAGCGGATTGTTGAGCATGAACCCCTCAGCTACCAAGGCGAAACCCGAGTATGCATTGAGTACGGTGATGACCACAGCTACAGTCTGTCAGCCAAGCAGCCACAGTGTCTGCCGATGTCTGACTTACGCATGTCAGCTCCTCCGATAGCAGCAGTCGTGGTATAGCCCTTCAGGAAACTGAGTACAGTATTCGCACCCAAACATGTCGCAGCAATGATTGGTGATGCGGGTGCCATCGTCACGAAGGCCCCCATGGTGGCCACATTAGTCCCAAGCAGACTTGCATTGATCAAATGTCGGCCTGGAAGTATTGTGGGTCGTGAGGACATGCGGCCGGCAAGTTTTAGGAAAGCGACGATCGAGCCCGTGAAGGTGACACCACCTGCGCTAGTTAGCAAGGACTCTGCCCAAGAGACAAGTATGCGATCTCTCACCGATAAGAACACCAAGATATGCTGTCACCATGTGTAAGGTTGAGATGTGTGAAACATCCGCCATCACACTACCAATGCTTGTGAGCACGGCCGCCAATCCAACAACTGAATGCAAGGCAGCGACAGTTTGAGGTAGCCCCGTTGGCGTGATGCGACGACCAATTATTGCACCTAGAGATTATCAAAACCACAACTTCCAGAACATGGCGAAGAACATACCAACGAGCGAGCCCACGCCTGCCACGATGCCAAATTGCGTCAAGACCTCGGAAGAGAAGCCAACAGCGGCAAGAGAAGCAAGGATTCCGGCGCCAACCCCTAGAATACCAAGAATGTTCCCGCGTCTGGCAGTTTGCTGAGAAGCAAGTCCAGAGATAGAAGCTTATGCAATTAGCACTGGCACAATAGATGCATGATGATACATACCAATGCAGAGAAGACTGCTGACGAGGTACCCAGCTTGAACCAGTCCAGCCATCCCGGTACTGGCAGCAGCAACAAAGCCTCCACCAAATAAGACACCCGGAATAGCATAGAGCCAAGGGTATTCCGGTGGATCGGTAGGCCCTAAACATGGTCAGAAGACTTCTCGTGGGAGAGGTAAACCACTAACGTTTAAACATATCCAACATGCGCTTGGTGATCACAAAGCCCCCAGAGATATTCATGAAGGCCATTAAGACCGAAGCAGCTCCTAGTGCTTCTGGAATCGTGCTGGGC